AGTCGCTGAATGACCAAACGAAACGGTCATCAAAACTTTTCAGGGACACAATCTGACGTGTAAGGAGTCACCTACTTCCAGGTGATATACATTGATACATTGATTAGGGTAGACAGTATGTTGTCACTTGGTGGGAACTTTATGAGGTCATATTACTCTGTCTTTCACATCTTTCTTCTAGGAACTGATAACCATTCACCCCACTGACCAAGCGATTTATGCCGACACTGTGAAGAGGCAGAACAAGCACACCAACACTTACCCGATGCATCGGATCATATATCTGGTATGCTGCAAACCCTTTTAGCCCACTTAAGAGCGTGGGTATTATTCAGCATTTTCGTCTAATATACTTCCGATAAACAACTAAGCTGACATTAGTAATGAACGGAAGCATACTAGCATGCTACTAGCGTTAAGTCGTTTTACAGATAAGGGTGTTTTTTGTGACTACAGACTAGCTTGGATCTACCAGTCAGAATTCACATTGTATATATATTAGCTAACAAATGCCTAATTACGCCTAACCACTTTCAGTAGGCATACAATATTAGACGTATTTTGCTGTATGTTAGTCTTTCTTAATATTTTTGGATACCGGTTTCATTGTTATAATTATATGGTTATATCCCGTTCTCCTTATTGGCTTCATTCTATCTGCTGATCCTTCCTGGTCGTCTCATATCTTGACGACTTCTAAGAAAATATTCCCTCTCACCTTCTAATTAAGAAGTTAAGATATTCTGGAATAACCCTTATTCTCTATTGTTCCCCCTTAGTTTTTCCAGGAGTAGACTATACTTTATCACGCAGGATGTTAAAGGTTGTCAGCAGGGTAAGCAACGTGCCATTTAACCAGCTCATTAATATTCTGGTCGACAGGCACTTGGGCTCCTGTGAAAAATGGGCTCAATCCATTTTATATAACTCATACCAACCTCTTCATTCACAACTCTCACCTTGTACCTCATCAGGCCACAACAAACCGGAAGCCTACATAGAAAACTATATGCTCGCACTCTTAAGTACAGAAACTCAACCATACCCTACTTAGCTCGTGTTCTGTGTGATAAAGAAAGCATTAGGCGTGATATTTATGACTTATTAAATAGTCAGTAGAGCAACTGGATCTCGTTTTTCCAACTCATATCATTTATAGGTACAACGTTTTCTTTCTTTCTTTTCCTTTTCTCTCTCTCTTTTTCTCTGTTATATGCTCCTTTGTTTCTTTCTTCTGCTTACACCAGTAAAAATGCTAGCATCTACTTTTCTAACACCTTCAAACACTGTTCAGCTTTTGGCTTTGCTACCGACATGCTAATATGTTCTTGTCATAACTATCTGAGATTACTATTTTATTTTTTTTATTTTGATTTACAGCTTGATTCCACACTGTATTTTTGGTAGAGGTTTAGAATTTTCAGCATGGATATCGGTAGCCCAAATTTCGCTGGCCGACCATAGATATCAGGTGTGCGTCGGCAGGGGATCGAACCTCGGACCATGTGCATGGTCGGCGAGAGTCCTAACCACTGTGCCACCCTTAATCTATGCAGAACTTTATTTATTGTTAATGTGCAAAGTGGATGCAATACTGTAGTAAAATGCTGAGAATTCCATTCTGTATCCCAAGTACTGTTTTGGAATAAGGCATATTATTATTATTATTTCGGTTCCCATTCACGAGCTGAAACAAAGGGGACTTATTAGGAAATACCCCAACTTTTATTACTGTAAACAGGTATTCGCATGGATACCTAGCTATTTTAACATAATCGCATGAAGTGATACAGATTTATAGTTTTATTCACCTATCTCGTTTGAAACGGTACGTCCAAATTTGTAATCAACCACTCAGTTCCACCAACAGGCAGTAATAATAGTAAACTTCATATCTAAAAGGCTTCGATGAGTTTTCATTTATAATCATTAATGATCAATATTATTGTTATTCCTTTGAGTTCTGAGTGGAACACAAGACTTCAACAGCACATCTCCACTTTGTTATATTTGGTGCTGTCATCTTCGGCTGGGTCCTTGATTGCCTATAATCTCTTATCTCCTCCTCGCCAGACGATCTTCTCCATGTCATATATGCACCAAAAACACACTCGTCGCTTTCTATTGTGATTCCAGTCGAAGGAAGGGCTAGTGTGTGATATCATTCCATGACATCATCAAGTTTTGCCCAATCCATCCCCATTTTCTTCAGAATATTTGTTAAGAGGTAGTTTCTCAGTCGGTTTGTTGTCAGAGTTCCTTGTTGCTAATTCTTCCTGATTAGCCATTTGATCTTCAGTATAGAGCCACTAACGGCAGCCGTTGATAAAATTCTACAACAGGCTGTTGCAAATGCATTCGTGACACGCTAAGATTCTGACACGCACAGAAAACCTGACTTCACATTTGTGTTGCAAATATAAATCTTGCTCTTTATGCTGTGGAGTGCAGAATATTTCCAAAGTGATTACCGATTGACGAAGCTCGCCCTTGTCACTCCGATTCTAGTTGGATTTGACATCTTTATCCGTTCTACCTGTACTTGAGACAATGCTTCCTTTTCTTTTTTCTTTTTTCTTACATGACTTGACTCACTCTGATGAAATAAACTTTGTGAAGTACGCTGATGATTTAACCGTTTCAATGGCTGTTAACTCCCAGCTAGATTGTACCAAAATAAATAGCTATCTATCGGAAGTCAGCAAATGGTCTGAGTCTAACGGTCTTAAACTGAATCCTTCTAAGTGTCAAACTGTTGATTTCAGCTTAAGATGCAAAAGACAATTAAAAGAAGTCGTCGATTCTCATGACAGTTGTAAAATTGACGACAATGATATAGGAATTAAATCAGAAATTAAGTATCTTGGACTCATTCTCTCTTCTGATCTCTCCTGGTCTTCCCATGTCTTAGCAATCTCCAGTAAAATATTCCGCCTGACATTTTACATTAAGAAGTTAAGACACTCGGGTATAACTCAACCCCTAATCCTACAGTTCGTAAACTCTTGCATCCTACCTATTCTTCTTTATTGCTCACCCTTATTCTTTCCTGGTTTGCTTAGAAAAGACTATGTCACAATTCGTAGAATACTGAAGACTGTCAGTAGGGTGAGTGGTGTCCCAGTGGACCACATAGTTAACGTCGTTGTCGATAGGCACTTGACTTCGTGCAATAAATTTGCTAAAGGGATTTTGTCTGACTTGGAGCATCCACTTTACCCTCAGCTTCCTTTCACCTTGCATCTCCTCAGATAGAACAAGGAGTAATTTCAGAAAACTGTATGCTCGCACGTCTAAGTATAAGAATTCTATGATACCATACTTGGCATGTATTTTATGTGATGAAAATAGTGTCAGGCAAGAACTAACTAACCTTTTTTCATCTAGTAAATAAACAATTTCCTCCATCCATCCTTACATACCTTCAAGTTTTACTTTTATTACTTCTATTATATTTATGGTCCTGTTGCTTCTTTGTTTTACTCTCATAATCGCAAACACCAACTTATCTCCATGACGACTGTAATCTTTGTTTTTCCCCTCACCATATCATGTAAAGAGAACATTATATTCAATATTTTTAAACATGTTAGGATTTCCATACCACATTGACAATACTGTGTGGCACAAGCCAACGGCAATTTTCACTTGTATCATTATTATTACTACCCTAGCTGTTATCATTATTATTGCTATTTCCATATTATATGCTGCAGGTTTTTGACATTAGCCCAATTGTAAATTTGAAAAATTTTCTGTGTGATTAATTTTATTTATAATTTGAGGAAATTAGATGCAATATTGTGATTAATGCTGAAAATTCCATTCTGTCACAAGTACTGTTTTTGGAATAAAGTAAATCATTATTGTTATTATTATTATTAGATTAGTGATGGAAGTAACTCCTTTCAAATCTCTCCTGTTGGTGTTGACTGGTGATGGTTGTTGTTGTTGTTGTTTGCTGGTTGGTTGTCTTCATCACCTCCATCTTCTCTATGTTCACCTACAGTCCTATCTTCGCTACCAGCTTCTTCAGCCTATTTGTTGGTTTTCACCTGCAAGTCTTCGAGTTTGTATGACGTCAGACATCATCTGCAATATCATCTGCAAAGTCCATATCTTCTACAGTGTTCTTATCGGTAGTCCAGAGTGTCCTTGTCTCCTCGCTGCCTGTGTGTAGTCTGAAACATAATACAGTCCAAAACAATTAAGAATATCATCAGTGAAAATTGGAAGCCAGCACTGTACTCTTCATGTCTCTACTGAAAATGCATCTTTGAGTTCTCCATTGTATATCACACTGAATGAGGTCGATAAAAAAATGGGAACTGCACGCTGTAGTGTTTAAAAAGATTCAAAAATACTTCTAGGTCAACACTCACGAAGGAATAATCGAATTCGATGACATTGAGGTAGAGATTTGACTGAATTCTGTGCTTTCTCACACGATGATGAGTAGGTTTGCAATTACATCAGCATATGATTTGCCTATGCTAAATTCAGCTACAACCAGTGCACATTCCAGTCATTTTAGGATGAGGAGCATACTGCCCGTAAAGTGCAGGTCAGATATAAGACCTTGAAGAGGAATTCTGTCTGGTATTACTGACCTCCAGGATTTCAGATGGTTCATCGAATTAAACAGTTCTGCAAAAAGCAAGACCAGTGTCCACTAATAGTCCACAGCGAGATGGTGCACATTGATTGCAAGTAGGCTAAAGGAAATGTAACATTCAAGCAACCTATTAAAAAAACCAACCAGACGAACAACCAGTCCACAAACAAAGAAAACAAAGAAGGCAATGAAGTGCAGCAGTGCTCCTGAAACACTATCCTCCACTCGGAACCTCTGTAATGCATAATAAATTAGATATATAGGCAAAACCAAGCTTTGTCTGCAAGTATGCATGAAATAAAGCCAACAATCTAATGATCAAGTGATACACTAACCAATTTAAATCAGTCTATGATCGATACTCTCCCATTACTAGCTAATGCAAATGAACAGGAATATTCGTAACAGTGATGAATATTTTCTTACATTCACACTTAAAATACTAAAGCAACAAATTACAAACTTACAGATTGTAATACAAAACGAAGACGAACACATCTGTTCACCAGCCGACAACACGAAAGATATTGATTCCACTTCGAAGTTAAGGTGGAACGAAATCAATCACCAGATGAACACAATTCTACAAACAGACTTACAATACTTGAATTGGGGAAGTGAAGAGATGGGGTTGCTGAGACTTGCAATCATCTACAGAAATGTGGTGGAATCTGCACTTGTGAAGACACGACTACGTCTGTCAAGACTTGAAGAGGAATATGTTTGGTTGAACAGTGAAATGGCTTATTTTGAAAGTCAGAAGTTAGAAAACGATAAACTAATGAAGGATACAATGAGCAGGATTCGTCACTATTATTTTCTTTATAAAGGGAGACAGAAATACAAGGAAGACTTCGATATGCCTGTGTCTAGAAAGATATTTCGTTCCGTAGAAAACGCTCTATCTAGTGATGAACATCAGAAAGGCATTACCTCTGTTCTCATTGATCCTATATCCATCCACCTCACATGTAGTCCAGATGATGAAGACCACTTATCCGCTTCAAATGGAAACAACCACCACACCAAGAAATCTAGTGAAGGAAGAAAGAAAATAATGCGTGAGTACAGCATTGCTGAACTTATTTACGCCTTCACAAAATGTTCAGGAACGAAATTAAGTCTAGGTGATTTGAATTCGTTAGTATTTAAAAACAATGCTCCCAGCGTACAAACATTACAAATTCAGTAACTCTCACAAACCATAAATTTATTATAGGAAACCCACTTTTTAGACGATTATATTTTTCATTCAGCAGTATAATGTCATACAATAGGATTTATTAGGTGAGAGGAAACAGCAGCGATTTCAATGAATACTAGATCGAGACATCAGTCAGAGAAACAGCTAGTCCAAGAAATATCTTTGCCACTCAAACGAAAGTCTCGCAGATGAATTCCTGGAATGGTGTGTTATGCACAAGACGTGATAATCAAATGAAAATGAAAATAATCTGGAAAGTGTCAACCCAACAGTTAATCTTTGCAATATCCTACAACTTGTGAACTCATGAAGTCAAAGATATGATTGACCAATGAGAACCTAACTGATAGAAACATCTAATGCATACATAGCTGTCGAAAGTGGCGTTCTTAGTCTCAAAGCATGTGTATTTTCAATCATGAATATCACCAAAACGATACCGAAATGATGAAGCAAAATATAAGGAATTACAGCGTTAGACAGCTTAACCTGCTCACCCCAATCAGTGTGATTATTTACTGAATAAATTCAGAAACAAATATGCAGATTCAAATTAACTTATTTCGTCATTCCAGACATTATTATTATTATTGTTGTTCCCCTTAATTCGTATAGTTAAATAGGCCTTTAGTCGCACGTCTCCATTGCGTTCGGCCCACTGCAAACGTTTTCACATGGCTCCATGTCTGCTCATATGCATTCATCTCCTCTTCACATGATCTCCTCCATGTCACCCTCACATCGACGACTAACTCGCCGCTTCCCACTCGGGTTCCACTCGAGAACCCGTCATGTGATGTCGCTTGATGGTTTCCTCAGAGTATGGCCAATCCATCTCCATTTATTCCTATATGTTTGTCGCACAATCTGTTCCTGGTTGGTTTACTCTCAGGGATCCGTGTTGCTGATCTTTTCTGGCCGGCCATCTGATCTTGAGTATTGAGAGAAGACAGCTGCTGATCAAAAAGTCTGTGGTTTGTTCGAAGTGCCCTTCGTGATACGCCAAGTCTCTGATCCGTATAATAGCGCTGACTTCATATTGGAGTAGAAAATCCGGATCTTACTTAACATGCTAAGTTTTGATGACCTTCACACATACTTAAGAGAAACATTTGTTGATTAAAGCAATTACTGAGCTTGCATGTGTTCAGTAGATAACGAGTTTTTCTTTTTTACTTTTGAAGAAATACCACCCTAATTAGATAGACTTACTGCATGATCAGGTTCTCCTCGCAGGCGTCTTGAGTTATTGAGCCTAGTCAACAAATCTCTTAATTGCATGGAGGATTTAATCATGAGCTGACATCAGTTAGAGAACCACTGGAAAACCTGGGAGTACTGGACAGTCGTTTCGTCCTAGTTTGGGACTCCTCGGCAGTACGCACCCACCGGGATTCGAACCCAGGACCTTCTGGTTACAAGGCGAGCTCGTAGACCATTGGATCGGGTCCCAGTGTCTCAATGGTCTACGAGCTCGCCTTGTAACCAGAAGGTCCTGGGTTCGAATCCCGGTGGGTGTGTACTGCTGAGGAGTCCCAAACTAGGACGAAACGGCTGTCCAGTACTCCCAGGTTTTCCAGTGGTTCTCTAACTGATGTCAGCTCATGATTAAATCCTCCATGCAATCAAACAAAATCCCTACAAAAACCAATACTTGAAAATCTCTTAATAAGGAGTCATTACTGAGTAAACATACATTCAGTGCGAGTAGTCTGTTTATTCAACTTGAAAAGAGACATATGATAACTTTCTAGGAACAGGGAATAGGAATCTCGAGGACCTTACATCGCTAGCTGACGCATTTATTTATTTCTTTATTAACATTTAGGTTTTCGTAGAATCTAAAAGTGGAATACAATGGTAAAACTGATAAACAAATTTAAATTATACTCATCACTTTTCAGTGGATAGGATGAATTGCTAATGATATCTCCTCCACTCACCTAAGTAGCATCGTTCCAGCGGATAAAGATGTGAAGGGCGTGATCAGCGGAGTAAGAGAGGCGTTTATTTCTCTGCATATTGCGTCAGCCACATCATTCTTCATAATGAAAGTGGCATGGATTTTCAACAGTTATGTCAATTTTAGTGTTCTGTGTAGTTCCTAGACACAGTGTATCCTCATAAGCAATTTCAACTTGCTTCAAACTTTCATTGACAGTTGTCTTCGCATGTTGGGTGCTGAAGACCTTGTGACCAGAGAGGATGAGTAACAGTGGATTTTGAGGACGAACCAACTAGGAAGCCATTTCTTAGGAAATATGTTTACGAAATGGAGGTGTTTTGCCTTTCCTACTGGTTATCTAACTCTTAGTCTTGAAAATCAAACTTTTTTTGCTAATCACACACTTTTAATACTATTATTACTCTCTTAGGCTATGAATGAGACTTACGGCTCAAGCAGCACAACTTCATGTCATCCTGTTTACTGTAGTCTGTGATTGTCTACACGATCACTTATAAGTGCGAATCTCCTCTTCATACAGTCTCCCCATATTACCCTAGTACACACACTCAACTCGTCTCTTCCCTCAAGGGGCCACTGTAGGCCCTGGCGCGTGATGTCAGTCAATGGTCTCTTCAGTATATGTCCGAACTCTCTTAATTTCCTTCTGCATATTTTTCAGGCTCCAACTTATTGTTTGATCCGTTGCCTGAATTCCTTGTTGATAATACCTCCAGCTGGCTAATTGTTCTTCAGCATGGAGTGAAGGTAGGTGTTGATGAAGGTCTACAAGAGGCTGTTGGAATTGCTTTTCGTGAATCGCCTGCCAAGTTTCTGACTCATGTAGAACAGCTGACCTAACACTTTTGTTGAAAATCTGATTCTTGTCCTTTATGCTGAGCGCAGACTTTCAAACTGATTTCAGAATGACAAAGGTATGACTTGTCTTTTTGATTCTGGCTTTGATATCTTCATCCAAGCCTTCTGTTTGTAGTTGAGAGGATGCTTCTTAGATAAGTGAAAGAAGTGACCTCGTTCAAATTTCTCCTGTTGATGGCGGTGAGTGTTTGTTGTTATTAGTTGGTTATCTTCATCATATCTGTCTTCAGTATGTTCACTTGAAATCCTTTCTTTGTTATTTCTGCCGCCAACTTGTTGCTTTTTGCCTGTAGATCTTCGAACTTTTATGACATTAATAATAAATGTTTCTGATAAATCACTTACTGATTTAAATATTTTTCAACTCACAGCTGATTTAAAATTTCAAGTATTAGTTTGTCGGGATCTGATTGATTGGTTACAGGATTTCATCATGAGCTGACATTGGTTAGAGAATCATTAGAAAACCTAGGAGTACTAGACGGCTGTTTCGTCCTAGTTTTGGGACTCCTCATCAGTACGCACTAACCGGGGTTCGGACCTAGGCAGAAGTTAGAATTCATAGGCGTTTGGATCGGGTCCCGGTGGTTTAATGATCTAGGAGCTCGCCTTATAGCTTGAAGGTCCTGAGTTTGAGTCTCGGTGGTTGCGTACCGCTGAAGAGTCCCAAAACTAGGACGAAACAGCTGTTCAGTACTCCCAGGTTTTCCAATGGTTCTCTGATTAATGTCAGCTCTTGATGAAATCCTGATTTAAAAATGCTATGGAATAATAACAGTTGGCAAATGAAAAAGTAATTGTATTTCTGGTGAACTGATAGCAAATATGAGAAATATTGACATTTTTAAAAGCTAGTTCAGTTTCCTTTAGAATTTGATCCCCACCATATCTACACAGTAGAATGGAAGGCAGAACAGTCATTTTCATGAACAGAGTGCCATCATTCGAAAGGTGGATCATAATCCAATCACAATATATCAATCAACTTTTAATTAGCTCTAGAGGACACAGTGTTTATGGGCTTGCTTACAGGTAATATATCAGACTCGAAAAAACTCGTTTTCAATCTGGCTCTTGAATCAGCACCATTCAGTGTTGCACTCCAGAGTTCAGAGGATATTAATCTGGTGACGATGCTGTAGACTTCAGATATTATATAACGCTCAATAAAAGACGCAACTACTGGAAGTACAAAACCTGGTCTTATTGGCTGCATGTTTTGGCCCTAAAACCGCTGACTTCCGAAGTGATTACATACTTTTCTTACATAATAAATATATGCACTACTAATAAGAAAGATACTTTATAATGTATGTGGTGAATTCAGAAGGAGTCAAGTCACAATTTAAACAACCTAAGACGAGGTTCCACTCTGGCCTTCTCTAGGATTTGCCTAAATGCCGAAGAGAACTACTTTATAGAAAAAAGCCTTGGCATACCTTGAATTATGCATATAACATCCATTGCTGCTAAAACATCTGAGAAACTAAAAACAAATGAAATGATTATCTTAGAAATTTTTACGTTGTAGATTGGTCTGTTTTTCGGTTTACTGTTTTTTTGAGACTATATGAAACTGTGAGGTTTTAGAAAAGATAGAAAAGTCAGAAGTCACATACAATTTATATGAGGTCAAGTCATCACTGTTCAAAGTAATTACCCTGGTTACTATACGGATCAGAGACTTGGCGTGTCACGAAGGGCACTTCGAACAAACCACAGACTTTTTGATCGAGAGTTGTCTTCGCTCAATATTCAAGGCCAGATGGCAAGAAGCGATCGGCAGCAGGTATCTCTGGGGGGAAATCAACCAGGAACAGATTGTACAACAAACATATAGGAATAAATGGAGATGGATTGGCCATACTCTGAGGAAACCATCAAGCGACATCACATGACGGGTTCTCGAGTGGAACCCGAGTGGGAAGCGGCGAGTTAGTCGTCGATGTGAGGGTGACATGGAGGAGATCATGTGAAGAGGAGATGAATGCATATGAGCAGACATGGAGCCATGTGAAAACGTTTGCAGTGGGCCGAACACAATGGAGACGTGCGACTAAAGGTATATTTAACTATACGAATTAAGGGGAACAACAATAATAATAATAATGTCTGGAATGACGAAATAAGTTAATTTGAATCTGCATATTTGTTTCTGAATTTATTCAGTAAATAATCACACTGATTGGGGTGAGCAGGTTAAGCTGTCTAACGCTGTAATTCCTTATATTTTGCTTCATCATTTCGGTATCGTTTTGGTGATATTCATGATTGAAAATACACATGCTTTGAGACTAAGAACGCCACTTTCGACAGCTATGTATGCATTAGATGTTTCTATCAGTTAGGTTCTCATTGGTCAATCATATCTTTGACTTCATGAGTTCACAAGTTGTAGGATATTGCAAAGATTAACTGTTGGGTTGACACTTTCCAGATTATTTTCATTTTCATTTGATTATCACGTCTTGTGCATAACACACCATTCCAGGAATTCATCTGCGAGACTTTCGTTTGAGTGGCAAAGATATTTCTTGGACTAGCTGTTTCTCTGACTGATGTCTCGATCTAGTATTCATTGAAATCGCTGCTGTTTCCTCTCACCTAATAAATCCTATTGTATGACATTATACTGCTGAATGAAAAATATAATCGTCTAAAAAGTGGGTTTCCTATAATAAATTTATGGTTTGTGAGAGTTACTGAATTTATAATGTTTGTACGCTGGGAGCATTGTTTTTAAATACTAACGAATTCAAATCACCTAGACTTAATTTCGTTCCTGAACATTTTGTGAAGGCGTAAATAAGTTCAGCAATGCTGTACTCACGCATTATTTTCTTTCTTCCTTCACTAGATTTCTTGGTGTGGTGGTTGTTTCCATTTGAAGCGGATAAGTGGTCTTCATCATCTGGACTACATGTGAGGTGGATGGATATAGGATCAATGAGAACAGAGGCAATGCCTTTCTGACGTTCATCATTAGATAGAGCGTTTTCTACGGAACGAAATATCTTTCTAGACACAGGCATATCGAAGTCTTCCTTGTATTTCTGTCTCCCTTTATAAAGAAAATAATAGTGACGAATCCTGCTCATTGTATCCTTCATTAGTTTATCGTTTTCTAACTTCTGACTTTCAAAATAAGCCATTTCACTGTTCAACCAAACATATTCCTCTTCAAGTCTTGACAGACGTAGTCGTGTCTTCACAAGTGCAGATTCCACCACATTTCTGTAGATGATTGCAAGTCTCAGCAACCCCATCTCTTCACTTCCCCAATTCAAGTATTGTAAGTCTGTTTGTAGAATTGCGTTCATCTGGTGATTGATTTTGTTCCACCTTAACTTCGAAGTGGAATCAATATCTTTCGTGTTGTCTGCTGGCGAACAGATGTGTTCGTCTTCGTTTTGTATTACAATCTGTAAGTTTGTAATTTGTTGCTTTAGTATTTTAAGTGTGAATGTAAGAAAATATTCATCACTGTTACGAATATTCCTGTTCATTTGCATTAGCTAGTAATGGGAGAGTATCGATCATAGACTGATTTAAATTGGTTAGTGTATCACTTGATCATTAGATTGTTGGCTTTATTTCATGCATACTTGCAGACAAAGCTTGGTTTTGCCTATATATCTAATTTATTTTGCATTACAGAGATTCGGTGTGGAAGGTAGCTTCTCAGAATTACTCCTACACTGCATTTAGTTCTATTTTTGCTCTAATAATTGGCTTCACACTACCTGTAATTTTTCGATGCCATTTGTCTTGATCCCTAGCATTTCTACTTTGGAACCATTATCAGCTCTTTACTTCTCGCTTATGTTTCATTTCACATTCCGAATTGTGATATGGCTGAATTTTTTCCGCTTTTTATCTTTATTCAACTGTGTTTCTGTTTTGTTTACAGCTTGATTCCACACCGTATTTTCGGTACTGGTATGGAATTTTTAGAATGGATATCGGTATCCTAAATTTCGCAGGTCGACCATAGATATCAAGTTTGCATTGGCAGAGGATTAAACTCCGGACCATGTGCGTGATCAGTGACAGTCCCAACCAATGTGCCCTCGAAACATATTACTTTGAACTCAGTCTGGAAATCGACAGCATTCAGCGCAAAGACTAAAACTTGGATCCTCAACACTCCAAGCTGCTACTCATCGGGAAACCATACACTAAGGGTACAGGGACAAAATGACTGCGGCATAGACAAGCAAATGCATCACACGGATGATTATATAAAAATTAGTGTGGGTTTTCATGACATGAAATAAAACAAAGACCTAATATACCTGTGTAGTTTACAATCTGTCTCGGGACAGAGGTTCTATGTGGGACACAATCACTTCTTCAATGTATTCTACTGGCCAAAACTACAATCCTCTCCAGGAAACTGTAGCCTGGCACCAACAATGTCCGCTCTAAGGATACACGAACAGACACGATGTTATGAAACCAGATGTTGTATCACATATTTACCAGTCGGATAGCTTAAGGAAAACTACTTAAACTGGCCAGACAATTCAAGGTTGAGTGTTGCATTGAGGTAAAAGGATTAGACAAGGATCGGATGGTAAAGAGACACCTTAAAATTTAAAGCGGGACAAAGATTAGAGATGTAACTGTAGCACTTTCACTTCAAACTGAAACAAAAGAGTTTGGTCTAGAACCGAACCTCATCCTACTATCAATTTATTCATACTTATTTGAAACTCAGTCGGTGACGAACTTCTGATGTTTAAAGCAACTTCACCTATAAAATAACTTACCTATTTCTAATACTATAAACTACTTTTTATAAAGTAGTAATTCTGACCCTCCGGTGACATGAAAGAACACCTACAAATGGCAGTCATCATAATCACCGTCAAATGTCTACTTAGCCTTAGACTCACATTAATAACCAGACGAAGCACGAAGCCTGTTAATCAGTAACGTCATTTTGCTTACTGCTTATTTGTTGAAGAATATGTGGTTAGTTATTTTCTTGCCAGATTTCTTAGTTGCCTATCCTTTCTCGCCTGCTATTGATATTCAGTATCGCATGAAGGCATCTGTTGATGAAAGTCCGCAGCAGCCTGTTGAAAGTGTGTTTTGTAATGCGCAAAGTCTATCCTCATTCAGAAGCACTTACCTGACATTAGTCTTGAGAGTCTAATTCTTGTTCTTTATGCTTTTAACAGTAGATTTCCATGGTGACGTCGGATTAATGAATCTCCCTCTTGCCTTTCCAATCCTTGGTTTGCACATATGCATCTTTACCGCCTGTAGTTGAAAAAACGTTGTTTGTTGTTATTTCGGTATCTTCATCACTTTTGTGTTCTATGCTCACTTGAAGTCCTGTTCTCACTGCTTCAATTGCTAACTTGTTGGTTTTATCCTGTAAACCTTCTAGTACGCATGACATTAGACGTAAATCGTCCGAAACTTCCAAATCTTCTGGAGTCTTTTTGTCAGCGCAACTTATTCCTATCCTCTCATCATACACGATCCGCCATGTATATATATATATATATATATATATATATATATATATATATATATATATATATATATATATACATAGTTCTCAGTACTCTTGTCGTAATAATCGTATTAATTATATAATATCAGCTAAAATGCAAGTTAGTCTCGAGTTTGACATTCTAGTCCTCATTATCAGATTGTGATGAAAATCGGATTATGAATGTTTCACTCAAGATACGCGGTTTTCCTGCCTGCATTATTAAGTACTCAGAGCAACAATGCCAAAGAAACTCCTGGAAGCACGGATTTCAGTTTATTCGGCTTTATCGGAAATAAGACACTGTTGAAGTATGTATTCAGAGCTATAAAAAGTTTTCTTTTCATATAAGGATAGTTTTTTGGTTCTCTGGTATAATGCAAAACTACACGATAGGATCATTTTTATTCTCTACGTCAAACAATGATATATTATATTTTATTTATGCATTGATATTGAAATTAGTTTCTATATTTCCGGCATTGGTGTTACAGCATTCCTGTTTCGTGTATTAATTATTGATTCGCAGAAAAAATATTCAGGGATCAACACCTCGTTCCGTTTTCCTTTATTTCCATATTGTTTTAATTATTCTAAAGTGTTTTTTCAAGTTAAACACTATGTCAGCTTCTATCTTTCCATGCTTAACTAAATTACTGTTTCAGTAAAAAAAAATTGGCTCTGGTCTAGTAGACTGATGTATGTTCTTCACCTCGTAGTCATTGCAAGGTATTTTACTGACTAAGTTATTTTGTCTAGTCACTTCAACGGATATATTGATCCGCACAGTTTGTTCCTGAATAACTTAAGAGATTTGAATACCACCTCATTTTTCCTGTATTAAGATTCCTGCTTGGGACTTCGCCAATGAAATGAAGTGATAAGAAGCCATGGAATTACATCAACAGAATCCGGAGGTTCTGTGACTACCGTGGTAAGACTGAATAATTAATTGTGCGGGAAATAAATAATACTGCATTACTTTGCTTTATTAAATAAATAAGTAAAGACGTCATCTGCCACTGGCAAGGCAGGTACATCTCTTGACGAATCCCAAACATAGCGAAACGTTCACACTGTACAACACTGCTAATTACTATTAACCGAAATAACATCGTGTCCGTATCTTGTGATTCAGTCGTAGCGAAATACAAATACTACTGTTACAAGTAATTATAACATTTTGTCGTCTCTATGGAATTAAATAATCTTGGAAAGTTTCTTATGAATGGTTCACCGTGGGAAGTCACCGATTATTTTGAATGCTTTGACGCATGGTGCATGTCGAAGAATGTTCACGATGACAAAATTTCGGCTTATTTTATTACTGCCATTTGGTGAGATGCGTACAGCCTAGTGTAAACTCTATAATTTCCAAGTAAACCAATTTCTCTGCCATATGATAAACTCCGTGGATTTTTATCAGATCACTTCCAAATAACTACTTTTGAAACACAAGAAAGGGCTCAGTTCAACAAACTGGTTCGTGCTCCCAAACAAAAGATTAGAGACTTCATTCTTCTGCTTCAGATACAAGCTTCAAAGTGCAACTGGAGATCAGCTCCATACTCAACTGCGTGATCATCTAGTTGTTGGAATCAATATTCCGAAGTTAGATAAATAGTTGGTTCAGATTCCTTCCTGCACCTCTCAAACCGCTAAGTATTTATGCATTACATGTGAAGATGTCAGCAGTGAATACCCAGCTCCCACTACGTCAGTGTCTGATGTCATGCTGTCCAAAGTTGATAATACGAGTGTTCATAGAAAGAAATCCAAACTGTCGTCCACATGTAATGAAATGCAGAGAGAGTGCAAAAACATCAAAACGTGTTTTTCATGTAGCGAAATTCATCTACGAAGCACTTGCCGTTTTCGGGGTGCTATGTGTCACATATGTGGTAAAATTAGGCATATCAAGTCTGTTTGCAGAATTTCAAATACATATACTACTCGGAATTCTCATGATTCTTCCGAATTGTCCAGTAAAATGAAGTCAATGTCTTTTTCAACTTTTTACAATACTCAATCTCATCTAATGAAAACCTTCACTACAGGTTCAGGCAAGTCTCACTGTTTTATAATTGATACTGGGAGTACTGGGTCTATAATTTCTAAGAAAGATTTACTATCGCTGTGTAAGTGTGCCCAGCTAGACCCTACTACTAGTTCCATTACAGGGATAACTGGTCATAAACTACCTCTTATTCGTACTACTAACATTGGTTTCGAAACAGACAATGCTAGTTTCGTGAATATCCCCTTTCTTGTTAGTGGCTACGGGTCGGCACAAAGTTTTGTACGAACAATAAAGAGTGCCATAGCATCAATGAGTCCTAAGAATTTTGATGAGCTAGAGAGATGTGTAGATAACTTCCATATCGCAATGCGGAGCATGCAAGTACCCATGAAAGTCCTGCTAAACTATTCAAATCTCGAATTCTCAAAGAGCATCTGATGTTCACATCTTTTGATGTACATTATTATGGAGGAAATGACTATAGACCTTCTGTTGGAATCAGACTATAAAAAAATAGGAAATCGAATGGTGAAGATATTAGACATCGAAGATCATTCATTTCATAAAAGACACCTGGATCAACTGAAAACAAATGAAGTAGGTCGTTCTGATTTCAGTTTTAATGATTCCGCTACTAATCCTGACTTTGTAGATAATTCAGAAATAAGTCTATATGATACTAGTGAAAATAGTATCACAGACCCAGTAAGAAGATCGCAGAGACTTGCCATCAAACCGAGACCTCACTATAAATACTCAAGAAAATATTCGACATGTGACGGATGTGGTGATTG